GACCCAGGCTGCTCCTGGGGGCAGGGGGGCGGGGAGAGGGCAGGAGACGCTGAGAGCTGGGTCCCTTGGCGCCACCCCACCCCCTCCACCACAGCCTCTGGGCGGCACCTTCATCTGCAGGTTCTTGAGGCAGGCGATGGCGTCGTAGTACTTGGCGGCGGCCTCCCTCACGTGGCCCTCACGGTACAGCCGGTTGCCCTCCTGGTGGATGACCGGCACCGCCTTCGCCTTCTCCTCATCCGTCATCGCCCAGGGGTCCTGCTGGTACGTGCCAGGGCTCTCCACCTGCCAGACCGCCGGCCAAGTCAGGGGGCGGTCCCAGGGGCACCCCCGCTTCTCCGGCCGCAGACCTGACCTCTGGGCCGGCCGGGCCTCTGGACGCTAAATACCGGAAACAGAGCCCCTTGCTCATCCGGTGACCATTCAACAAACAAACGCTCTAGGAGCACCTCCTACCTGGCGAGCACTACCAGGTTCCAGGGATAGAACAGTGAACAAGACGGGGACGGTCCCCACCCTCACAGAGACGGGTGGAAGCAGAGGGGCCCCAGGAGGGACACCCACGGGGACTGCCAGGGGCCCCGCCAGCTGTTCTCGTACCAACACCCCCGTCCTGTCCCGACACCCGCCCCCACCAGTGCATCCACTGAGCCCAGCAGCCCCAGGCAGGCCGGGAGGGCCAGGTCCCGAGGTGAGGCCAGGCAGGGCCGGTTTGGTGAGGCACCTGGGGCTTGGCGGCCCCTCACCTTAAGCATCTCAATGTCGAAGATGAGAGGCTGGGGGTTCTGCTGCAGGGCGTCCAGATCGGCATGGCCCAGGGAGCTGTGTTCGTGCATCTGGGCGATCCCGCAGCAGTGCCGCTGGCCCTCCAGGGGGTCCTTGCCAGACGCGATGTTGCGTAAACTCTTGGCCACCAGCGGATACAGGACCACGTGCTGCAAAACGGCGAGCGGGCACCAGGGGTTCTGTCAGCAGGGGCTGCCTGGTCACCGGGCCCAAGAGGCCCAGCCCCTGGCCCCACCGCCACCTTCGAAAGGACACTGAAGCCCAAGGAGGGGCAGCAACCGGTCCGGTTGAAACGCAGGAGGGCCTTTCCCTCAGGAGTCCTCGGGCCTCCCGGCCTTCTATTCTGGCCAAGTCCCCAGCTCTTGCCACACTCTCTGGCCACCAAGCCAAGCCAAGCACCTACCGCTCCTACCCCAACACGAACACACACTCTCCCTCTCCCTGTGAACCCGTCTCCCTGCCCTTACAAGTTCAGCGGGATCCATGTCTCTTCCCCCGTCTTCCTAGGGGTGTGGCCCACAAGCTGGACTTGTCACCACTACCGGGGTCCCCTACGTTCTGTTCTCAGTGTCTCTTCCTTCTCTCCCGCCCCACCCCCACCCGCCTCGGGGCCTATCTCAGGGCTGGGCCCACGGTAGCGACTCAAAGCCCTCGGCCGGCGGAGACCTCTAGGCATAGAGGACCTGGCCTTTGACTTTCACTAGGAACAGCTGTTGAGATGATGGGACCCAGACTCCCCAGTTCAACCAGCTCCATTCACGGTCCCTACTGTCCGCAGCGGGGGCAGACTGCTACAGTAACATCCAGCCGGCAGACATGTCCTAAGTCCCGGTGCTGAGCATTTTGAGCTGGGGGTAAACACATCCAATCCCTGCTTTGCTGCAGCTCAGACCCGGGTAGAGGACCAGATCCTGGTCACGCAGGGCATAAGGGGTTAGAGGATCCAGGGGAGGGTGTTGAGCCAACCACCGGCAGTCACGGAGGGCTTCCTGGGGGTAGTGAACCCAGGAATTCACTTTGAAGGATGAGGGGGAATCTTGGCTGAGAAGGGGATGGAAAAGAAAGGCAGGGAGGTGAGTGGGAGGGGAAAGCTGACAGGGGTCAGACCCTACAGCTTATATATGTCTAGCCTGGCAATGATTAGGGGCCAGAGAGGACCGAAGAAGGAGTCGTATGGGTCATGTGCAATCCCCTGGCTGCAGTCTGTCTATGAAGAGGAGAAGGCGGAAGAGGCCAGGACCCTAACGTCCTGTTGGTATGGCGCCCTAGAGGGAGTTGGAGGAAGCCTAACCAGGGCAGAGGCCCTGGGATGGGGAATAGGGGATGACTTCACAGACACGACAGGCAGGTGCGGGACATCGGGTACCTTGACATCGCAGCAGAACTGGGCGATCTCCCCTTCACGCATGGTGCACACGATGGTCTCCCACACAGGCAGCTTGAACTTCTTGCCAATGATGAGCTCCATGGGCTTGCCACGCACCCGGCTGTCATCCAGCACAGTGCCCTCCTTGTCGCTGTGCAGAGTCCGGTAGTGGAATGTGGCCTGAGGGCCACACGTGGGATAAGGCGAGGGCACACACTCCCGCCAAGCCCCCAAGGACAAGCCCGGCTCTCAGCCTGCAGATAGCACCAAGGGACAGGGCTCGCCCGAGGGTCACCACCTGACCTTTACCCCACCACCCAGGGGAAGAAACTAAGTCACAGAGAGGGAAGTAAGGGGCCCAAGTCACATGGTTGGGTGGTGAGGGGGACGGGCTGGGATGGGATCTCAAGCACCCTGGCTCCAAATATTGTTTCCACAAATATTTACTGAGCACCTACTACGTGCCTGAGCTCTGTGCTAGACACAGTAGTAGGTAAAGCAGACAAAAGACCCTGTGCCCATGGAGTTCACGTGGAACTTCTAAAGGAAGGAGATGAGCCTCAGACAAAACAGTGGAGCTAAGGGTTATGGATCAGAAAATAAAATGCAGCAGAATAAGACAGGGCGAATCTATACACAGAGCGGCGGGGGGACTCTCTGAGGAGGCAACATAAGCCGAAATCCGAACAGAGTACAGAAGAAAACACACCAGACAGGTGCTGGGGTACAAAGGGGTGTGAACTTTCTAGGCCAAAAGAGCAGCAGTGGGATTGTGTGGTGTGTTCAAGAAGCATCAAGGCAGGGGGCGCCTGGGTGGCTCAGTCGGTTAAGCTTCGACTTCGGTTCAGGTCATGATCTCGCGGCCTGTGTAGGGTCCTGCGCTGACGGCTCCGAGCCTGGAGCCTGCTTCGGATTCTGTGTCTCCCTCTCTCTCTCTTTCAAAAATAAACATTTAAAAAAAGAAGCAGCATCAAGA